AACACAAGCAATAGCAACTGTAAGGAGAACATCAGGGCGTTGCTAGGAAGACAACGGCATAGAATCTCGAGATATGGCATAGAATCACAACAACGGCATAGAATCTCGTGTACGTACGTATTGTGCGTACACTCATACATCACACTCCTTCCTTTCTTTAAAAAAAACTTTTGCTTAGTTGTTACTCCATGCCCCGGCTGGTCTAATAATTCATGTTAAACTCTTGAATGCATGTTAACGGTAATAACGAACAAGTGTCTGCGGGAAGGTGCATATCGAACAGCATCCATAAACAGCGCAGCACTGCATCAAAAGAAAATTTTGACAGATTTGCCGTTGCATTTGCTCATCGTGCGAATACTGAGATTTGGCCACATGAACACTGCGTTTCTAGAACCCGCGCATCAAACTTGAACTTTATGAAGGAAGCAGGCGTTGCAAGTTTGCAGCTACGGAACCAGTGCAAATAGGTATGCCCACAAGCGAATGCAGTGCGCCATTTCCGTTAGAAATGGGGTAAAATGTGTCCAACCGCATATCTGCACAGGGAAAGCGAAACGGGTATATCCGGATCGGCGTTTAGGGTTATCCTTAACTGTTTATTATTTATCTCTCTGTAAATGTTTCTTTTTTGATTTTGAAATTAAATGATTAAAATGGTGCTCAGTTACGTTGTGCAGAACCAGAGGGAGGTATTGACAATTTTTAAGCACAAGTTTCCGTCTAGGTGAGCACATGCCCTTCATGTGAGCGCATTTTGTGCTATGTGAGCACAAGGCCCTGATTTTCTAGGCCCCGAAAGATTCAAATAGAAACCAACATGCGATTCTCTGTTGTTGATACGATTTTAACAGAGATATACAGATAAGGGAAGAACATGCGCACCAAAGCAGAGTGAAACCGGTTTTGGCCAATAGCAGTCAGACGATCACACTCGCGTCCGAAAAATCCTCCCGGCGATTGTGTAGTAAGTTTCTTCGACAGTGCTTCTTCTCTACGCACTTAGTTGCAAACTGTTTATTCAGCCAAGGGAGTGCATCCGTATAACGCATTTGCGACACTAATACTTTAGAATCTTGTCGTAGCATACGGTTAGGAATGAAAAAGAAGCAGCAAAGGTTGTATCAGTAATCGCTTTAATGAATTTTGTGGGATCAGTTATCTGTGTGTATTTTTTTCTAACCCGAGGTATTTGTGACGAAGAGACTGTTGAAGTTTTCCATGATGACTTTGAAACGCTGGATCTTGGAAAGTGGAAGATCGAAAACCCGCAGAACGTACGCGTTCAGAACGGTGTGTTGCTGCTGACAGGCAAGACGGGCTGTGAGAACGGATCACTGTACCGGAGCAACAGTTACATCGGCACCAGGAACTTCACTTTCAAATACGGTGAACTGCTAATCCGTATGAAATACCCATACCAGGCTCCTGATCTAACTACCGGTCTCTCGGTGCTGAAATTGTCGGCCGAAGGCGCTACTTCTCCTCGGGAGGTTACACTCACTGCTATAAATACATTCCCACGGTATCTAAGTGGTCTGGTGAGGTACAATCCGTCTGGGGGAAAGAGTGCGGAATATGGACAACTTTACGAATACATGGGGCAAGTACAGTACTGAACTAAGATGCTCATCACACAATTCTGCAATCTTTTATTTGGCACTACCGAACAAATCAATACGAGTACTGGGTCCACACGTGTGATGGTGCTCCAATGATCCGTAACACTACGAAATTGTGGGCGCTGTAGTTAATTTGATGTGCCACTGTGCATTTCTTCATATGCATTCGAACACGAATTTGGTATTAAATAGTGCGATGATAGCCTGAGTCTTTCCAGCGTCCGCGATCTCACATTTGATTACCACCTTTACCGGCTAATCTGGACCACAGAGAGCATGGAACTGTTCATGGATGGCAGCCGGATTTTCAATTTAACCGTTGTGGGTTTGAACGACTGGCCGGCAGTGAATATTGCCATGTCAGCCAGTTCTGAAATCACGGGAAACGCCTGCCCAAACCTTTCCATCAAGGCATCGTGTGAATTGTTGGTGGATTACGTCACTGTTCGGCAATACGGCAGCCGACCAATCACAACACACCCAGGTAGTGGCCACATGATGCACATCCGCTTTTGGAAATACTTCGTTACCGGTGTTGTTATCTGTAGGTGACATAATACAAGTGACCGTTGGTGTACTTATTCCGACAGCGGTTGTAGCGTCAGTGATAGTTACCTGCCTGCTGCTGCGATGCGCCAGACAACGTCGCATTAAGCGCCGCGAAGGCCTCATTGTTTATCCCAGTGCTACGGAAACACCATGTGATTATGGCTTGTCGGCGCTTGAATTCAATGGAGAAGCGGCGGATGTGCTTGCAAATGATCGCATAAAGGCGATGGAAATTCAGCTGGACACAATACAGATCGGTAAATTAGTCCATAGTAACAAAAAATAAGCTTCTTGTACCTTTCATGGTGTTATCGTATCCAGCGAGCACTGTTTTGGGTCGAGGCTTAACCAGCGTAGTCAGAAAAGGATTCGTCAAGGCAAGTTGCATGCACTCAACTACATCCGAAGTTGCCGTCAAAAGTGTGAAAGACAAAAGCGATCCCGTGGAAGCTCGACAGCTGATACAAGAGCTGAAGATTATGGCAGCAGTAAAATCTCATCCGAATATTTTAAACCTCGTCGGAGTGGTACTGAAAGGTTAACACCATGAACATTTTATCACTATCCAGTAATACCGGGAGCAATTATAATTTAAAGGCTTTTTCAGGTGAGCTGCTACTGATTGTCGAATACGCTAAATTTGGCTGTTTAAAGCATATGCTGAAAGTGCTTGGAACGGAGCGCTTTTACAATCATGTAAGTCCAAGTGGACACATCCTACCGTATGATGAACTGGAAGTGGAGCGAATCAAGTTCTCTAACACACAATCCTTGGCCCAAACTGATACTGCGCAATATGGCGGAATGGTTCTATCCACGCAAATGCTGCTGTCGTTCGCCGGCCAGATTTGTCGTGGAATGGAGTATCTCAGTGCTTCGTCCATTGTGCACCGGGACTTGGCCGCTCGCAATATCCTCATTTGCGAGGGAAATGTGGCCAAGGTATCTGACTTTGGATTGGCACTGCAAGGCTCGGGATGTGCCGACCGCGAGTCTAAGGTATGCCTGAGTAGAATCCCGCCGGCTTTATCGTAAAACGTCTTAAAGCGCAAAGCCGAGAAATGTCACAGAATCTGAGCAGCCGATTCACGCCGGGTGTGAGCGTAAAACCTATAGACGTACCTGTGCGAAAAAATCAGCAAATGCTGAGACATAAATGCGCAAAAATGTGATATTGTATTACCAGATTAATGTTATTTTTCTGATAAAGCAAACAAACAAATATAAACATATGAGAAAACCTTGTCGATCCGTAATTTGGTGCAAGCTTAAACCCTGGATAAATAATCGTAATTCTTCGAAGTTTAAATGTGTTATTTCATTGTGCCTAACAATAACAATCAAATGAAGAATTTGTCCCAATTAACATGAGAAGGGACTGGGACTTCTTCGAAGTGTTAATGCTTTTTCAATACCCAAGAACCCTTGCTCAGAATCCAAAGGTTTATTTGTTTGCTTAAACGCCGCTGCGTCTCGCTTGCTTGCCTTACGCATTGCACAACACCTAAATCGTCACGCGCAAATTACTGTTTTTACAGGACGCCCTGCCCGTTCGATGGATGCCGCCGGAATCCATTTCGAGCGGGATCTTTTCGGAAAAGTCGGACGTCTGGTCGTTTGGTGTGCTTATGTGGGAAATGTTTAGTCTGGGCGCTCTGCCTTACGCCGGCTTCCATGTTTCACCCGGGAATAATATTTCGGATTTCCTGACGGCACTACAGACGGGACTGCGGTTAGATAAATCAGCGACTTGTCCAAGTGTCGTGTAAGTGAAACTAACAAGTTTGAGCAGTTTTAATACTGCAGCGTTGCACTTGCAGTTAGGTATAGTCAGTACAGATATATGTATTCTGTAGAAGTGAACCGATGATTACAGTTAGTAGAAAAATTCTAACGCTGCTATAATATGTCAGTAGTGTGTAGGTTAGCAGGGTTTAGTATATTTTTCCTTTTTCGGCATTTACAAGTCACTTCAACCGCCCTGTGCAAACTTCTTGTTGTACTAATTTTCTGCAATTCAGTCGTCAGAAGAGATGGGGTAAATTGTGCATCTGTTTCTCAGTGAATGAAAACGGTGATCTTGCTGTCTTTTTATGTTTGTAGTTATGACCTGATGTGCGAATGCTGGAAACTCTCACCCGCTGACCGAACGAATTTTGGTCGGCTGGCGAAGAACTTGGAGAATGTTTATGACACATTGGGCGTCCCAGTTTATGTTCGTTTGCTCAAGAACACCCAGCTGTGCATGTAAACGCAACGTCCTAAATCCGATTTACTGTACTTATCTCAACGAAGAAACAGCTAAAGAAGTCGTTTGAAAATTAATGTGTGAAACTCATGCGTAAAAGACGCATACGATTTTTGTTCAAAACTGTATTCCATGTGGTTACTCAGTGAAAGAAAACAATCGTTCCACAACAGATACACTCAAAATCACTTTGGCGCGTTTCTGACCGGTGGCAGAAACTAGGCATCCCCTGAGTCCAAGAGTTTCTTAGTGCCGTCCCCCCACGATCCGTAGATTTCGAACGCCGCCGCGACAAAATCGTATCTTGCCGGCAGCTGATAGACTCGTAACCGTACACTGCGCAATAACTGGTTGTTAACGTTTTAATGATTCACGGATAACAGACTGAACTCCAGATTCGGTGTCATGTAATGATCGTGTAAAGCATTAACAAGCGATTAAATATGACCGACAGAAATCACGTATCCTTCCGACACAGATCAGACCAACATACTCGTACAGATCACCACAATGCAGCCACATTCCTTATGTGCACCATTGTAACAGTTCTCATCGGTTCTCACTCAGAAACATGTAAACATGACAACGCATAAGCAGCTGTGAATTAGGTAAGCTAGGAATGGTGGGAATCAGTCATCCACGCGACTGGCGCCAATTCTGTAGTTCATAGAACACTTGAGGAAATAAGAAAAAAAAATTAACTTAAGATAAGTTGTTAAATAACGATTTTCGGACGATTACCTTAGGATAAGTTTTTAAATCTGCGATATCTTGAAGATATTGCGGAATTGAAGGCCATAATTTAACCTCCAACTACGGTAACGGAAGAATGGATATGGTATGCGGATGATCGATGGGTTTTGAATTTAACGGTTCCAGGATTGTCAACTTAATAGGGACGACCATGTACATCCTTCAACATATATGTCGATAAACCGTTGTTAGCAAGCTAAGCTTTGTTAATTTGGTAATTACGACTATAAAATCGATAGCCTATTACGTCCGGATGCTGGAAATATTCACCAGCTGACCGTTCCGATTTTCTCCAGCTGGCGCAAAAGCTGCACAATAAAATCGATACTCTGCGTGTCTCTACTATTTTGGCTGCATTATCTTGTCCAGATCGTGCGCCGTGACGTGCATCTAATCAACCATGCATGAGTTCAAAAGGCTATCGGCATAATTATTTTCGAGGATTGAAGGGAGCATGGCATACGGTGGTCGGTGATGGCACAAACGCAGAAGAAGCAGAATCGAACAAACACTTTCTGTAGGCACTGGGAATGAGCATTATTTTGACTACGTTGTATGTACGTTGTTGTTGTTGTTGTCTCCGGTAGTTATTGCTCTCAGTGGTGAGTTTTGTTAAAGATCGCCCATGCATCATCAATGTGTCGCAGTAATACTTGTCAATACTAATGCTGACTAGAACGCTAATAACTGGACAGTATTAATGTCAGTGGAGATTTCATCGTAATAATTTCTCCCTCTTGTTGCGCTGTTCGGGATCAGCTTGCTGTCACCCTAGCGATGTCCTACTCGTTTACGACCATGGACAGCCCTTACCGCCTCGCGCTGTCAGTTGTAATTGTCCAGCCATGCCTTTGGCCTTATTGCAGCTTTAGCATAACTTCTGCTTTACAATCTGTCACAGCAAAACACGGCACTTTTATTGCAAAGGTTATAAACCAAGAACACGATAGATACGTAAAATATCACGTTTTAGGTTGTAATTAACGATCCTCGAACCAGCTCTGTGTCTTATTTATTTATGCTCTGTGTCTTATTAATTTAGCAATTCACTTGCGGTACAAATACAGCGGGCAACTGCTCGATCTTATTAAAAGACATTCCATTAATTTAGGCTTCGTTCAATTTGCGCAGAACATCAAATGTACAAACGGGAAATATCTGAGAGCCGATGATATCCGCAGAAATTAATTACCGTGGAGAATCACTACAGTCGTTTGTCCCTCCTTCCACAGGCGAACGACGGGCATCAATACACTGAGCGTACCAGTAGTCGAGCCGAAGGTAGGTTTGCTCCGCAATGTTGTCATTGACACTGCGCAACGTTTGCGCCAGTTGAGCAGCATTTATCCGCTCCTGTGGTATCCGTTTCCAGCATTCGAGCATTAAAGCATATCTGTAGAAAACTGTTGATAGTAGAAAATCCTACCCACAGCAAGTACCACCTACATCGCGCTAGGGCATGCATCCGGTCTCTCTAGACGCAGTCCATTTCTCAGCAGTGTTGCCAAACTATGGTGCGCATTTTCATCGAGCTCTTCGTTGGCGTAGGGCAGACTGCCCAAACTGAACAACTCCCACATCAGCACTCCCAAGGTCCACATATCGGATTCGGGGGAAAACATTCTCTCCGCAATGGATTCGGGAGCCATCCAACGGTCACGTAGTGATTCCTAATTTAAACAATATTGGCACGTATCACGTTTGTTCGTATCACGGCAATTGGAGTTAGAAGTAGAACAGACTTGCACAGGTACGAAAAGAGAAACCTAGCCGGCTTCTGCAAGCGCTAGCGACGTTCATATAACTGACGAAATCGATTACCACCCACTAATCGATTTTGATAGTTTGTTTTCGGACTCGGTTCTTTATTCGTAAATTCATGGGGTCGGCTGGCTCGATTCTGTGAGAATTTCAATGCTTGAACGGAAAAGACATGCTAATAACTTAACTGGTAAACTGAACATGGGGTAATATTTATTGGCCACTAATAACGTATCTGAATAGTTCCGTTGAAAAGAAAACCAAAACCGCAATTTCCAGTATTTTTTTAATCTACCTGTGCATCAATGGCGACGTAATTCGCTGTCTGCTTAGCCATCCCCAATCCGGCGATTTTCGCCACATAGCTGTGAAGTATTGGGTACGTACTGTATAATACTACATTAATGTTTATTGATGTTTACTGTAACTTGTCCACGAACGTACTAACTGCTAATGCAGTTGTACGTGACAACAGCGTATATTCGTATCTAAGCAAGTCAGGACATACAAGGTTATAATTATGAGAATACACGCGACCGACAAGGTCGCAACATATACCACAACTCCTCCCCAAGTTCAAAAGAAACTAAAACTAGGAATGAAGGTTATAGAATAGAAAGGTCATAGTAACTGTTCGACTTCTCCACGGAGACATACTTCGTTCCATGGGATTCACAGGCTTTCTCAATGTGACCTTTACGCCCACATTGATTGCATGTGGCGTTTCGAATTTGCACTCGTCGCGTTGGTGGCTGTCGGAACCACAACTGCGGCATTTGTAACCGGATTTCGGGGTGCGACGGAACGCCCTTTGCCTTGTACCTTGTGGACATCATTGTCGGCATCGCCACGGGATCCGGACTGCTTCGCTTCGTTCCGGCCCGCTTCGTACTTCTTTGCGCGTTCTAACGTTTCTTCGAACGATTGAAGGTCATGGGTCATCAGGTGAGAGCGGGTACTCTCGTTCTGGAGACCGTTGATGAAGGCCGCGCAGAGGTTATCGTCCAGCACTGTGGACGGAACTGGCAGTAGGCTGTCGCGTCTTGGAGCTTTTCCGAAAAGTCTTCTAAGGTTTCACTGGAAGTCTGGGTCACCTTGAAGAATTTTGCAATTTGAACTTTCCGGAAGGTGAAGGAAGTGTAACGGATACGTAACTTCTCGAGCAGCTGATCCAATGGGAAATCTTTAGGTTTACCCGGAAGGCATACGGCCACCAGGCGCTTGAATGGTTTCGGACCTAGGGAGTCCAGCAGAAGGTTGACCTTCTTGTCATCAGGGACGCCGGTCATCTCAATGTAGTTTTCGAACTTCTGGTACCATTCTGTCCAAGTGAGTTCATCCGGATTCCACTTTTCCAGCCGTAGAATGTGCTGGGCCATTAGTGGGCTGGATGAGGATGTCACGCGCTGGTTGGTCAAGGATCCGGAAGTACGGGTGGAACTGGGTGGAATAGTACTTGGGGGAACGGACCCGCCCGACGGAGCTGTAAGGGATGGATCGGAAATGCTGGTAGATGTCGTAGTAGTAGCAGCGGAAATGGACTGAGGATTTACTGGATTAGTAGACGTAGGAGGTTTGGGCGGCATACGGCCCGAATGAGCTCAAAAAGCTTCACGCCAATGTGAAGTATTGGGTACGTACTGTATAATACTACATTAATGTTTATTGATGTTTACTGTAACTTGTCCACGAACGTACTAACTGCTAATGCAGTTGTACGTGACAACAGCGTATATTCGTATCTAAGCAAGTCAGGACATACAAGGTTATAATTATGAGAATACACGCGACCGACAAGGTCGCAACATATACCACAATAGCCATCGCAGATCATCACATTATTCGCCGACAAATCACGGTGGATAGTCGACTGGCTATGGAGGTACTCTACCCCCTGACTGATATGGTCGGCAAAACGTACAAGTGCACGGGTGGACAACAGCTGCCAATCGAATCCCTCCTTTTCAGCTTCATGGGCATTTTGAATGGCGACACGTTGGAATTCATCCGCCATTTCCTGATTATACGGCAAAAGTTCTCCACTCGGGCTGACGTGATTATAGAACCAGACACCACGGTGCATTTTGAGGTAACTGGACAGCGTTCCAAATTCAGCGTGTTCGTACAACAACATCAATTCGCCTGAACAACAGCAGTCTCAGTGCAATTTAGCGCTTAATGTTTGACGAATTCGTGAATTCGTGTCATATTGTGTACCAACCGGGTATCACATTAATTAAACAGGTAAAATAGAATAACCTTTCAGGACGACGCCAAGCAGTCGCACAATATTCAGATGCGGCCCAATAACCGCCATGATTTCCATCTCCTCGTCGGCGTGTTCGGGAGCCGTTGGCTTTTTCGCGGCCACGGTGGTTACACTTGGACGATCGGCAAGGCCTTCAACGAATCCCTTTCGAACGATGCATGTTGGGCTACTGCTTACAATCTCCACTGTTCAAAGCACGTACAGTTACGATAAGCATAAAATCTTTTTACAATTAATAAAGACACCAGGGCAATGACTAATTTGTCATCGTGATAAACCACAATGAGCATTCCGATCTAGGATGACGCAACAACA